TGCACCACCAGTAGCAATAGCCATATCTTTAAGTTGGTTCTTTCTGTTGTCACCAAAACCTGGAGCTTTAACTGCCACAACCTGAAGACCAACTTTCAGCCTGTTAAGAACAATTAATGATAAGATTTAAATAGAATAAAAATACCCGGCTTAGTTCCCCTTAAGTTGCAGTACTATTACTTAGGACTGCTGCCACTGAATTTTCTTTCTTATTTTCTAACTTTGGTCAAATTAAGACCAGAAAGATATGAGACAGGCAGGACTATTTTCTACTCATATACATATTCCTATCTGATTACCTTTAAAAAAAATAAATGGATAGCCTCCCATTGCAGTTCAACAGCTAGACCCAGGAACAAAGAACACATCATTTTACGTTAAAGGGTACACTGATTTTATAAATGGTAAAAATAGTAATAATAGATATTAAATTTGAGTCATTTAATAATCATTTTGCTCTATGGGTTCCAATCAATATTATAACAAGTTAGTTAGTATGAACAAGCAATGTTCTGAATGGATTCCTTTAAAATAAATGTTATATAAAGCTGATGGTGGCATTAAATTTACCTGAAATTTTATCAGGTAAATGAATACTTGGAATACAAAATCAAAGAAATGTCCATCTGAAAGCAGATTGTAGAACAGAAGGAATATTTAGATTTGACTCAGAGCTGGTCTATAGTCCCGAGACAGACAGAAATCAGAACAGTAAGCTGTGATGATATGCCAAGTGAATCAGACATCAACTTCACAGCTATCTATCAGTAAATGATTCAATAAAAACTCTGTAGGCTTTAGGGGAAGTGGATCTAGCTTCATGGTATATAGTGCTTGCCTAGCACATGTGAGGCCCTGGGTTCAACACTCAGCACCACAAAAATCAAAACAACTACCAAACAAAACAAAACAACAACAACAACAAAAAAAACCCACCAAGGTAGGTAGGCTTCAAATTTCACTATCTACAAGGTTTTTCTTGACTCCCCTACTCCCCACACTTTGGAAACCTAAGCTAAGGAAGATACTCCACATTAAGCAAGCTCACATAGAACTTTTCGATCAACTCAAGGTATTTTATATCTGAAATACACTTCCTAATTAATTTGTACATTTTCACTATAACAAAACTAGGAAAGTATTGGGTTGGATATACCTTGATTCTAAGATAAAAAAATCTTAATGCTCGAGATTACGTTTATAGCATGAACATTACTTATATTAAATTTTAAAGTGATATTTAAATACAGAATAGTGAAGAACTCACTTTGATTGCTAATTTCTTTTAGATTGTTTATTAATGTTTACACATGACATGAAGTGCCTAACATTATTTTATTACCCTAGCTACAAACAAGTGAATCAAGCCAGGCATGGTAGCACACTCCTATAAACCTAAAGATCCAGGAGGCTGAGGCAGGAGGATGGAAAGCTCAAGGCCAGCCTTAGCAACTTAACAAGGCCCTAAGCAACGTAAGACTTTTTTTTTTTTTTAAAGGGCTGGGGATGTAGCTTGGTAGTTCTGCACCCCTGGGTTCAACCTCCCATACTGAAAAACATAAGTGAATCAAATGTGGAGACACAAAATGAATATCTCAAACAGAAATATACATAATTCTTTCCCCTAGAAATATAAACCACATACACTGCCTATTACCTATTCAAAACAAGTGTACTTAGAGCTTCTCCATCAACATCTTCAGCAATTATGACCAATGGTTTACGGTGAGCATTGGCAATTTCAAGAGCAGGTACAATGGACTGGACGCTAGAAATTTTCTTTTCACTCAACAGAACATAAGCATCCTGGAATTCACATTTCTGACCTGCAAAAACAATGTACGTTTCAAATCAACATTTCACTACTGAGAATAATTTGACCACAACTTATTTAATGAAAAGTTAAAACAATGCTTCAATACCATTATTAAAAAGTGGTGAAAAGGTTCATATTTTTTCCTTCTTTGCTTACTATAATATTAACTTTTAAAATATCACAAATCTGGGCTGGGGTTGTGTCACAGAGGATTTAGCGCTTGCCTAGCATGTGTGAGGTACTGGGTTTGATCCTTAGTACCATGTAAAATAAAATAAAGATATTGTGTCTACCTATAACTAATAAATGTTAAGAAAAAATATTACAAATGCTTTCTAGTGGTGTGCTACCAACTACGTAACACCTATACTACTGAGGTGTATTTTTAAAGTTTTGCTCTTACCTTTTGATGTATTAATAAAGTATGGAGAGATATAACCTCTATCAAACTTCATGCCTTCAATAATTTCTAATTCATCCTCAAGTGTTTTTCCATCCTATCAAAAGTCAAAGAATTAGATATAGGACTTCACTGATAAAACACAAAACTTGGAAGCAGATGCAGTGGCACATGTCAATGGTTCTAGCTACTTGGGAAAAAGGAAGAGTTTAGGGCCCATCTGGGCGATAAAGCAAGACCCTGTTTCAAAACAAAAAACCAAACACTTACCTTTACTGTAATCACACCCTTTCTTCCAACCCTTTTCATTGCATCAGAAATAATGTTGCCAATTTCTTTGTCTCCATTTGCAGAAATGGTAGCAACCTGAAATAATTGTTACTCCTCAAAATTAAATGGTAATGCTATTGTCCTCAATCAATACCCTTGGAGTTTCCTAGTAGCTTCCAAACTGATACTTCTATCCAGAAGAAAGGGGAATTCACTACATATTTTTTTCTTTTCCATACTGGATATTGAACCCGAGACCTCACACATAACAATGTATAAGCAACACCCCAGGTCTTTAAAACTTGGTTTTTTGTTTGTTTGTTTTAAATTTTGACACCAAGTCTTGTTGCTCAGGCTGGTGTGGAACTTTGGAAACCCCTGCCTCAGATCCCTAGTAGCTGGGATTATAGGTGTGTATGCGGTAGATTTAATCAAATATTGATTCTCTGGTTCAGTGCTTTTTAAACTTATTACTTCGAAGATGGAATAAATACATTATCTTTTTAAAAAATATTTATTTCTTTATTGTAGTTGGACACAATACCTTTATTTTTCTTTATTTTTTTTTTAGTTGCTGATACTTTGTATTTATTTATATGCGGTGCTGAGAATCGAACCCAATGCCTCACACATGCCAGGCAAGTGCGCTACCTACTGAGACACAATCCCAGCCCCTCCACAATACCTTTATTTTACTTAATTTTATGTGGTGCTGAGGCTCGAACCCAAAGCCCCGCGCAAGCTAGGCAAACACTGTACTGCTGGGCCACAACCCCAGCCCAAATACATTATCTTAAACAAAAACAGCAAGAAAAAACTGATCTCATTATTTTTTGTTGGCAAATAAGGTGATATCATAAATTGTCACCAAGGGTAGGAGTTTAGCTCCATAATAAGAGTGCTTGCCTGTCACATGAAAGACCCTAGATTCAATCCCTAGCACTGCAAGTAAAAGCATAACTGACAAGAATCAAGAACATGTTCATGTGTGTATGAATCCATTTTATAGCCACACAGAATAACCCATAAAGATCCAAATGACAGGATGTGACTTGGTGGTCTTGCCTAGCATGTGCAAAGGCCCTGGTTTTATCTCAAGCACAAATTATGGCAAGAGAATTTTAAAAACGTTTTAGAAGTGCAGGGCATGGTGGCATTAGCAGGCAAACCCAGCAACTGAGGATGCTAAAGAAAAAGGATAACCCAGCCTGGGCAACTCAGGAAGACCTGCCTCAAAACAGAAAATAAAAAGGATTGGAGGATGTAGCACAGTGTTAAAGCACCCCTGGATTCAATCCCAAGTACGAAAAAAACCAAAACAATAACATACCAACCCATACATATCACTAAAAGCAAACCCTTATCATAACATTACAAAATGTCCTTACCTGAGCAATTTCTTCAGGAGTTGTCACAGGTTTAGACTGCTTCTTGAGTTCAGCAATTACAGCATCAACAGCTAACATCACACCTAGTTCAAAAACATATATTGGTTTCATTACTTCCATGTACAGTAGAAATACTGAGGTGACTATTTACTGGTACTACACACTGAACCAAGGGTTCTTATGCATGCCAGGCAAGCACTCTACCACTGAGCTACACTCCCAGCTCATGACTAATATTTTAATCCCTTAATTAAGTCTGTATACAGCTTTTGTACCAGTGCTTTTCCTAATCGCATGGAGTTGGATAATATGCAATGAAGCAGTAACTTAAGATTTACCTAGTGCAAACCGAGTCTCACAATACCAAAATTATTTTGAAACCGGACCAAGAAAAGATCCATGGGTATAATTTCAAGAATTTCAAGTCTTTCTAATTAAAGTATGTTGCCTGTCTCTAAGGTTTACTCAACACCTCTCACTCCATTATATGACAGAAAAGAAGTCTTATTTCCAAAAAGTAGTATTTTTAGAAATAGTGAAATAAAGACATTCGTACCTCTCCTGATTTCCACAGGATTAGCACCCTTGCTAATCTTCTCAAAGCCTTCTTTGGCAATAGAGCGTGCCAGTACAGTAGCGGTGGTGGTGCCATCCCCGGCCTCTTCATTTGTATTATTGGCAACATCTTGAACAAGTTTAGCTCCAATATTTTTGTATTTATCCTTTAAATCAATTGACTTTGCAACAGTCACACCATCTTTTGTTACTTTGGGACTTCCCCAACTCTGTTCAATAATTACCGTTCTTCCCTATAATTGCAGAGGGAAAAAATGACAAGACCACTATAAAAAAATTATACTTAACTTTCTTAAAAAAGCATTCTTTAGAAATAAGGCAATTATGGGCTAGGGATATAGCTCAGTTGGTAGAGTGCTTGCCTTGCATGCACAAGGCCCTGAGTTCAAACCCCAGCACTATACATACACACACACACACACACACACACGGCAAAACTATTTAAAATCCTCAATACAAATTGTGTCATTTGTATCAGTCCCACAATATGAATCTCAAAGGCAAGTTCATCCACATTCTTAGTTTACAGACAAAATGACCTCTCCACTTCTCTGCCAAGAGCATTAACTTTGAATGAGGTATTATGGGAGGTAAAAATCCTAGGGACTAAAAGATGTCATCTTATAAAATGAACAAGAACATAAGACAAACTATAGGGGCTGGGGATGTGGCTCAAGTGGTAGCGGGCTCGCCTGGCATGCTTGCGGCCCAGGTTCGATCCTCAGTACCACATACCAACAAAGATGTTGTGTCCGCTGAGAACTAAAAAATAAATATTAAAAAATTCTCTCTCTCTCTCTCCTCTCTCACTCTCTCTTAAAAAAAAAAAAAGAAAGCTATCTTCTAACTCAATGCTTTAAAAAAAAAAAGACAAACTATAAAATTCCAGAACATTATTAAAATATTTCACACTTAAGTTCTGGCTAATGCCTGTTTGCTTTAAATTCAACAAAATAATAACCATCATTAAACAGTCTGCTCTTCCAGGTTTACTAAACATTAAACACAGCACGTACAGGACTGAAAGTGTTGGGATCTCAACCAAGCTAATACTTTCTATTCCTGAATGTGAAATGGAATATTTTATAACTGAGCAGATAATTATAATTTGAACTAGCTTCAATTTGAAAAGAAGCATCACTTGGCTGCATACCACCTTCAAAGGCTTCCTCAAAATATTGCCACTCAGTATTCAATGATATAGAATTTTATATGTGCTTTGGAACAAGTGATGGCATAAACACACTATTATCTATGGGGAAAGAAAATGAGACACTATAGTTCAATGGGCAATAGTTTTCCAAGTGCAGATGAAAAAAGTTGTGGAGATGGATGGTAGAGATGGTTGCACAATGAAAATGTAATCAATGCTCCTAAAGTATACACCTAAAAAAAAAAAAAGGGTAAAATTTTAGCTAGGGTGGCACAGGCCTGTAATCCCAGCTACTCAGGAGGCTGCACAAGGAAGATCAGGGAAGTTGGAGGCCACCTTAGAGAACCTGCCTCAAAATAAAATAAAAATGGATGGGGATGTAATTGCAGGGGTAAAACAACTGTCCAGCATTCAGGAGGCCCTGATCCACAATAAAGTGTAAATTTTTTTAAGCATATTTTACTACAACATAAACACACACACACACTTGAGATATGGTAAGACATAAGCCATACTCTTTCCTCCCTCTATACTTAAATATTAACTACTGGGAAAAGATCCAAAATTTAATTCAAGTAGGCAATCAAAATTGTACCTCTAAGTTTTAAGAATCCACCTTGAGCTATGAGTTACTTCCCGATTACATCACACATTGTACAAAATAAATCGGTCGATCTGGCTGAAGCAGTTTAAGTTTTAAGACCACTAGATCTAGATAGACAAAACAAAAAACCATCCCCAGAAAATACAATAGCTTCAAATTCTTTTAAGTACTATTTCATAGTTCAGTGAGACTACCTACATTAACAAAACGTTATTCCTTGCTTAATAATATTGTAATTAAAATAATAAAGAATACTGATACCTTTGGCCCCATTGTAACAGCTACAGCGTCGGCTAAAAGGTCTACACCTTGAAGCATTAAGGCTCGGGCATCTGCACCAAATTTTACATCTTTGGCATAAGCCCGAGTGAGATGAGGAGCCAGTGCCCTAGACACTGGTCTCATCTGGCGAAGGACTGTGGGTAGTCGAAGCATTTCTGGGGAAGAAAAGGAGATGATCAATAATAGCACTACCCTCGTGTCTCAGCAGAGACATGTCCACCTGTGTTTAAAAAAAATAAAATACATGCAACGTTTGCTGTGGGCTGACCTGATAACCACCATGTCAGAGCCATGGAACGCAGGGCAGCTTCAGAACAGTTACTAGCCCTAGCTCAGAAAAGACGCCCCCAGGCCTGACCTACAGCACCAGCACAAAGCATATCCAACTCCTTTCCCATGGCCACCTACCCCAGTCGCTCCAAACGAGTTAATATTTTACCGCTAAAATGGCCTTGAAAGAACCACTCCAAAAATGTCCCTGCGAAACCCAGGCAGTGGGAGTAGAGGAAGGTTACAAATCCGAGTGAGCATGTAAGTATAGGTATACTTGGCGATGCAAAACGCCGCTCAGCAAAAATTGTCTCCAAGTATCCACCCGAGGTTACTGTATCAGAACAAATTACCAAGGCCGCGATGAGGGCAACCGCCCGGCCCACTCCGCAGCCCCACGTGTCTTCCCTTCAGGACGCCCCCAGCAAGGTCAAAAAAGGAGGTACAGTATCTCTGCTACCAGCGGGGCAAAAATCAGTTCCTTCACGGAAGCTACCACTCGCCCTGGCGCCCCGCAATCGGACTGGAGCGGGTTGCACATGAGCGCCCAAGTAGCTACTACCCCCAGATTCTATCCCGCAGGGATGTCCGCCCTCCTTCCCACGCCTGGACTGGGGCCGCGAACCGTCCGCACGTGATAGGAACCCTCATGGCCGCGCGAGGCCTGGCTACGCCGGCTAGGCCCGCAGAGCCGTGGAGAAGTACCGGCTGTAGCCCGCCAGCATTCTCAGGAACGTCTGCGTTGGAGAAAGGCCTACTCCGGGGTCGCCAGTCCTAGAACGAAGCGGCACAGGGCGACCGCGTACCTGCGGGGCGTCGGCAGGGAGTGCACGCGGCAAGGCAGACCGTCTGCGGCGAGTGAGGGACAGAGTGCAAGGCGCACACGGCAATGAGCCCGAATCCCCTCCCTCCGCCACCCCTTACCCCCCCACCCGCCCTGCGGCACCGCGTGTGCAGGCGGCTCCCGCCCCCTCGGAGTCGGCGGCCCGGCCATCAGCATAACTTGCTCACGAGCCCCGCCCCTCCTACCCGCGCAGGGTCAGGCTAACGGGCCCAGTCCTCTCTTGCCCGCTTAGGCTAGTTCCCGGGCCACTCTCAGTTCCAGAACTTTCCGGAAAGCGCCGCGCTCTCTTAGAGTCAAGGGTCAAATCGCGTCATTTCCGGGAGGGGACACAGGGGTAGATCTTTCACCTGGGCTGGCTGCCTAGAAAAGCCTAGAAAGAGCGCCTCTTTTCTTCCGCCTCCCAGCCCTCGCGTCAGTGGCCTGCGCTGAGTCCTTGGGACGAATCACGTCGCGCGCTGGCGCGGCCGCCCTCTCTCCCGGGGGCGGAGGCAGGGCAGGATCCAGCGCGCGTGCGCGCGGGACGGCCTTTTCACGTGTTCCGAGGGCCGGATTGCGGGTCTCTTTGCGGCGGCTGCAAGAGAGCACAGTCCGAGCTGCGGTGGCGCGAGTCATGGTGAGTCCTGCGTGGCCCGGAAGCCGCCGGATCCTGCTCGGTTAGGATCCAACGGGGAGTCCCTAGCGGCCCTCTCTTGGGCCTGGTAGGTGATATGGTGGGCCACTTGGTGACCGCCCTCACCTGTACCCCGGGGAGGTACCCCCGCTCGAACCCTTCCTCCACCGCGAGTTTTTTGGACGCACGCGTTCCGCAGGCATGGTGGGTAGGGGGCGGGAACTTGGACGCGTGCGTGGCTGCCCGCCTGCTTCTGCGGGGCCTTGGTGGGTGTGTGTCTTGGAGAAAGCATGGCCTCAAGTAAAAAGAATGACCTTCATCGTTTCCTGAAAGTGTCCAGAAAACCTGAGGACGGAAAATATTTGACCTTGGAATAAACTAAGGTTACCCCTAAAATAGACTGGTTGCTGATGGCGAGAAGCCACAACGACCCTAAAGGGACATAGGGAATGGGAATTAAATTTGACTTATAAAGTGGAACGTTCAAATTCACCTCCTGTGAATAATATAAGTTTTGGTAATAACTTTGAACTCCAGAACATGTTAGATGTAATGCTTATAGTGGTGTGGTCGGTTGAGTGTAATTTACATAGTGTTGTTTCAGCTCTTTTAACATTTTTTTTAAACAGGCTGGACAAGCATTTAGGAAGTTTCTTCCACTTTTTGACCGAGTATTGGTCGAAAGGAGTGCAGCCGAAACTGTAACCAAAGGAGGCATTATGCTTCCAGAAAAATCTCAAGGAAAAGTATTGCAAGCAACAGTAGTAGCTGTGGGATCAGGCTCTAAAGGAAAGGTAAATGGGTGCATTGCAAGAGGAAAAAGTAAGAAAACCTTGTGTTATTTTCTAGGTAATCTCTAACCTTGCTTTAATGAAAGTGATTGTAAAATGATCACTTTGCTTGTTTTATATGATAGGGATTTCCAGTGTATTGAAATTGTCCTTAGCCATTTGGTAGGTTCCTTGTGATCGTTTTCTTCAAATTCTAAATTTTTGACTAGACAGAAGGTTATGTCTCAAGAAGTCCCTGGGTTTTTTGACAATTCACTGAAATTAACTCCAATCATTGATCTTTGTTGGCATACCTGTGAAAGGAACAGTTGACCTTATCCTTGTAAGTTTTCTCCAGTTAAAGTGTCGGACAGTAAATGCTTTTATATATATTTGGGGGTCAAATATGATAACCACATTGTTCCAGTCTCCTCAAACTTATTTCTACTAAGGAACTGTCCTGGAATTAGGAATAGGAGGACTTTCAAGAAACCCTTTTATTTCACTGTCTATGGATTATGTTAATATTTAACAATTTTAAAGTTAGGTTTGGTTAGTTAAACTTTGCTTTTCCAGTAAAACTCCTTGGGCTTTTACCCTGAAGTCAGAACCTGAGTTTTAGTTGAAGTATGTTCCTTATTGCAAATTAGGATTTTAAAGTGGTGTTTTTGTTGTGAAAAACTGCAATTCTAGTATAAAGTATCCACCCAATTACCTTCATTAAGTGAGGGTTGGGATTGTTTCTCAGCAGTAGAGTACTACCTAGCATGTGCAAGGCGCTGGGTTCGATCCTCAGCACCATATGAAAAAACAAAAGTATTGTGTCCAACTACAAGAAAATAAATATTTATTTTTTAAAAAGTTAAGTGAACTGGATGTGTTTGCTGATAAACATCTTTATTATCTTAAGGGTGGAGAGATTCAGCCAGTTAGTGTGAAAGTTGGAGATAAAGTTCTTCTCCCAGAGTATGGAGGCACCAAAGTAGTTCTAGATGACAAGGTATGTAAACTTAATAGTTCTAAAAAGAAGTTAAGTATTTGCTCTTAGCTGTCTTAACTAATAGTTTCTCTATTTGCAGGATTATTTCTTATTTAGAGATGGTGACATTCTTGGAAAGTATGTAGACTGAAACAAATCACTGTTGAAATGGCATCCTATGAAGCTGCCCATTCCACTGAAGTTCTGAGATCTTTCATCATGTAAATAATTTCCATGTGTCTTTTATAATAAACTGATGATAATCTAATAACATCCACTGTCTCAAAATCTTAGTTTCCCTATACTTGTGTAAACATTTCCAAATAAAATATGTAATGAATTGTTAGTCTTTATTTTATAACTTAAGGTGGTTTAGAGTTCTCCAGCTTATGCTCTTTTCAAGTAATCTAGAACATTCTGAGAATGAAGGTTTCTAGGTAGATAAATTTTCATGTTGAATTTACCTTTATTACATAGTTGTTTCATCCTGATACAAAGCCATGGATTTATACTTTTAAAAATTCTGGCTTAAATATAACAACCTTATAGTACAGTCTTCAGTTGATGAATCCATTGTTTGGGTTTTGGTTTTTTTAATGCCTCGTTTCTTAATTTTTGTGTTGAAAAACTTATTTCCTGAATGAATATTTCCAGTTTTCAAAACAACACTACTACTTAATCTATTTGGCAAAAACATGCAAGGTGAGATATAGTCATAACATAGGCTGAATGCCTTCTGTTTTCCAAGGTAGGAACTTTGTGGTGGTAATAATAAATAACCAAGGACTCAGTAGGAAGTAGCAAAGCCAGAATTTGGACTTCAAGATGCTATTTAAAACTTTATCCTTTGGCTTTTGCTATGTTAGCTACTTCTGAGAATTTAGAACACATTATTTGAATTAATTCTGCTGATCAACACTGGTATTGGGGAACAGGTAGTTCATTACTTACATATTTAGTATACCGTATGTTGAATTTTTTAAAATATTCTTCGGTGTTGATGGACATTTATTTATATGCTGTGCTGAGAATTTAATCCAGTGCCTCACACACGAGACAAGCACTCTACCACTGAGCCACAATCCCAGCCCCCATAAGTTGAATTTAACAGAAAATGAAACATTTTCACTGAAGGAGATAAATAGCAAGAAATTTAAGATTCCAACCTCCCACCTCTTGAGTCCCTTTCTTCCTCCAGGGAGAAGTCTTTTCTTTTCTGCTGTCCTCAATAAAGCTTCTACTTTCCACTCTGTTCTAGAGTTAACTCTTTTTTTCTTTGTGGTGCTGAGGTTCGAACCCGGGCCACACGCATGCCAGGCGAGCATGCCACATCCCCAGCCCTAGCGTTAACTCTTAAGCAATGATGTCAGCTAATGGCCTTTTCTTTTTTTGTACCAGGGATTGAACTGAGCCATATCCCCAGCCCTTTGTGTTTTATTTATAGAGAGACAGTTGCTGAGTTGTTTAGGGTCTCATAAGTTGCTAATGCTGGCTTTGAACCCCAAATCCTCCTACCTCAGCCTCTCAAACCTTTGGGATTATGGGCATGTGCCACTGTGCCCAGCAGTGTTAATTTTAGTTCTTTACTAAAGTAGTATGTGCCATTAATATGTATATACATTTCTGTTTGTGTTGATGTCTGATATACTAAAGTTTATTTTTCTTTGTTTTGGCCTCTGTCTTGCTGTCCTCATGTCTGAGCCTCCCAAGTTACTTGAGATTACAGGTATCTGCTAAATTTAATTTTTGTCAAATTTAGAAATATACCTTTTGTTGGGCATGATGGCTCATGCTATAATCCCTCCATAACTATGGAGGCTAAGGCAGGAGGATGGAAATTCAAATCCAGCCTCAGCAATTTTGTGAGACCCTATTTAAAAAATATAAAGGGCTGGGAATGTTGCTCAGTGGTTAAGCACCTCTGGGTTCAGTCCTGGTACCCCCCCCAAAAATGCATGTTAGTATTCAAGTTGATCATAAATTTCATACTCTGCCTCAGGCTAGATAGTTTTGATTTTTTTTTTTTTTTTAGAGAATTTTAATATTTATTTTTTTAGTTTTCGGCGGACACAACATCTTTCTTTGTATGTGGTGCTGAGGATCGCATCCAACCTGGGCCACACGCATGCCAGGCGATTGCGCTACTGCTTCAGCCACATCCCCAGCCCAGGCTAGATAGTTTTGAAGCCCAGGTTTACCTTCCCAATTATTTCCCTTTTGGGCAAAGGTTGAAAAGCAACATAGTGGTCTGAAACATGCAGTTCCTAAATTTTTAAGACAAAGTTGTTTTCCCTGTTTTAATCAATATTTATTTAGTCATTCTGTTAGGCAAGCATCACAATAGAATTACTTAAATGTTAAAAAATTTATCTCCTGATTTAGTAGGTTTGGATGGGGCTTTCACATTTTATGTGTAACCAGGTAATTCCAAAGATGAATCCAAGGTTTGAACACTTTGATCTCAAAACTTACTTGTGTGGGTAAGTTTGAGAAATGGGAAAGCCATGGCCTTGAGCAAGTGTCCTAGGTTATTTGTGACAGGCTGTGCTGTTGCTGTTTTATTTTAAAACTGGCAAAGCACAGCTTTAGGGAAGGTGAAGGTGAAAGTAGTGCTCTGAAGAATGAGCCAAGGGGGAGAGCGGCTCAAGGCCTTTTTGTGATACATTTTTTTTTCCTTACAGTTTATCATTTTGACTTCTGCTTAATATGTGCAGGAAGTCA